TGAGAGAGAGAGATAGAGTGAGAGAGAGGTGTGTGTGTGTGTGTGTGTGTGTGTGTGTGTGTGTGTGTGTGTGTGTGTGTGTGTGTGTGTGTGTGTGTGTGTGTGTGTGTGTGTGTGTCAAGGACAAACAATAGGAAAAAGCAGAACAAGAATATTTGAGGCTAAAACTGGCATTTCTGACATTTGTCCATTTAAAAAAACACTTTTAACGGTTTCTATTTAGTAGTTTCTATGTTGTTGAGTTATCACTGAAGTGTTATAATAAAGGTGCATAATCAGGATTGAGAAATAAAGCAACAAATAAAATAACTTGGGACAAAACAAACGTCCTACGATAGTTAGAAATGAGGGAAGATTACTTTACCTTTCCTCATTTATTCATTGTGTCCTGCAAGTGTGTGTGTCCATGCATATACCGTGTGTGTGTGTGTGCATGCATATACCGTGTGTGTGCATGCATATACCGTGTGTGTGTGTGTGTGTGCATGCATATACCGTGTGTGTTTTGTGCCAACCATCTGGTCTGCAGCTGACTGCGAATCTCTGTGATTCTGTTGTTTTTGGCGCCTGTAAAGTCTTGTTTTCTTCTCCGTCAGGAACATCACATTTTGCCTCTTTTTTCTCTGCGGTTTCTTCATAAACAAAACCTGCTTTCAATTTCCCTCTCATTCTCTCAAAATTAAGTGTTTCGAAACCAAAAACTGGCTTAAATGTTCCTGTAAGTGCCGTGAACCCGGCCCTGTCTAACACTGCTTTTTATAAACGGTTTGATGTGTTGAGCAGAAGCTGCACTTTTTGCCATAATCTGTAATCAGCCACACAACAGAAGGTTTCCCAGAGATTCAGCTTTAGAAACGGGTCTCTCTGGGCTGTTTTTCTATGTTTACCTTCACCAGAAACAGAGGATTAAAGTGGGGGAGGGGTGTGTACTTCACTGTTTTTGCTGAAGTGAGGCTGACTTATTTTCCTAACCAAAGGGTTAAATCTTTAAAAGGTTAAAGGAGCCCTATTTCGCTCATTTTCAGGTTGATATTAGTATTTAGTGTCTCTAATGTTCAAAAAGCTCTTTATTTTTCTCATACTGCCTTTTCTCCCTCTGTCTCAAATTATTCTGGGTAAACCAGTATAATCAGAAAAGGGTAAATGCATTATTTTAAGTAACAGAGTTGTCTGCAAACAGGTAAACGTTGGTGAAAACTCAAACTGGTATGCATACTCTGAAAGTGTTGTTTAAAGAATGATCCTAAAACCTTAATTATATATAATTCTGAGGGTTTGAAATTGTCTGATTGCAAGAAAAAGGGCAAAATGTCCTATTTTTTGTAATTTTCCTCACTTTGAAGGTCTAACAAATGATTGGTCCCCACAAAGATAGTCAAACAAGTACACACATAAACTAGCAAAGCTTTGTGAGCAGCTTTTAAACATTTTTACTTCTTTCTGTAGCCGACGCAGTAAAATCCTCTGAAGACGAAGAAGACGATGAGTCATCCTCAGAGGAAAATAAACTGTCCAATGAGCTGTCAACGAGTAACGAGAAGCTCCAAAGTAAGACTAAAACTTCACGTCTCTTTTTCTCAGTTTTAAATGATTGCAAAGTGAATATCTTTGGCAAAACAAGACATCTGGCACCCAGTTTAAGGAAAATAATCATCAGATACATTGATGGTGAGAGTTGTATTTGTCTTTTCTTGAGTATACATACATGTATATTTACATTTCTGCTTTCATTTTTTTATGTATTTTCTGCTTTTATTCAGTTGTTAACTATGTGCCTTAATTATAATAAAATAGTGTATAAGATATTAGATTGCCATGAATGTAGCAAATTGGTAATTCTACAATTCCCTTTTTGATCTTCAATTAAGGACTCATAAACAATTATTAATTTCCCATGAACAATTATCATAATCCTAATTCCATTCTTCTCAAACTGTAAGTCTTGGTTTCTCTTTCCGCTGCCTTGTTTTGGTTTTTAAAAATGACTGGTGGTCCCGATGTTTACCCCGCTGTGTTTCCTCGTTAGCGTTAGCGCCGCAGTGGGTGATGCCGGACAAAATGGAGAAGCAGCTTCACGCCGTTCCCGCCAGCAGAACGGTGAAGTTTCGCTGCCAGGCCACCGGGAGCCCGGTCCCCACGCTGCGCTGGTACAAGAACGGGAGAGGGTTCAGAAAGGACCAACGGATCGGAGGCTACAAGGTAAGGGTGTAAAAAATCCCGCGGTGATTACTGACATCAAGAAAATACTTTTTTACATTCCAAGTTTTCTGATATGTTCAAATGGACATGAGGCGTTATGTAAGTAAATGTGTGCTAATTTGCATATTATCCATCAAAGACAAGGGATCAGTGGATAAAGCTAGGTTCATATTATTGTTTGATGATATCTCTTTGTATACCTCTCTAAATCAGAAAATACTGCCATAAAAAAGTCATTTTCTGTATGTTTTAGTAAAGTGTGATGTAAATAATATGCAGTCGTGAGATTGTTGTAATTTCGGACATAAAGGACTTGTTTGCTCTATAAAATGTCGGAAAAGTAAAATATTTGCACAATATTAAATGTCTTATCTTGTCCTATGTGAAATCCATATCTGAGAGATATTTATTTTTATTTAATATGCAGATTTAAGAATATCATTTTTACTTAAAATTAGATTTGAAAGATTAACCGGTTATAGAAAAGCTTCTGATAGATGCTCTCTTGATTTACCGAGGGATGAATTGCCTATTGTTTCATCTTACATCTTAATTGATGGTTCTTTTTTTAAATATGCAAATTAGGCATTATCTAATGGGTCTTATCTATGTCCTTTATTTTTCAGATCAGAGACCACATGTGGACTTTAATAATGGAGTCGGTGGTGCCATCCGATAAAGGGAACTACACCTGTGTGGTGGAGAATGAACACGGGAGCATCAAACACACCTACCTGCTGGATGTAGTTGGTGAGAAAACTTACATTTACGCCCAGGAGAGTGTGTGTAATATTAATGTGTGTTTCTACGACTCCTCCAAACTGTCTGCTTTTAAAGCACTTCTTAAAACCCACCTCTTCTCCTTAGCGTTTTGACATCTTGTAGATCGTTGCTTTTATTGCTTTTTAATTGTCTATTGTTTTTACTTGTTTTATGGTGTGTGAGCTGAGCTGTGTGATTTTTGTATGTTTTGTTTGTTTATTTATTTGACTGTACAGCACTGGTCTGGAGGTTTTAAAGTGCTTTATAAATAAGAATAGAATAGAATCCTTTATGGTCATTATACAGGTACAATGAGATGAGTAGAGCTACTCCTACCATCAAAAATAAAGAAAAACAAACAAGAGATGTACAACATTCAGGAGAACACAACATACAAACAACAAGCATTCATACAGTTAGAGTGCAGGAATATATCTGTTTAAGTAAAATAAATACTTTTGAATGTGTATAAAATATATACATATATATATTGTGTCAGTGCAAGCTGGAGTAAAGTGCAAGCTGTATTGTATTGTTTATTTATTCCTCTTTTTATTTCAGAGCGTTCTCCTCACAGACCCATCCTGCAGGCGGGTCTCCCGGCCAATCAGACGGCGGTCGTGGGTCGAGACGTGGTGTTCGTGTGCCGCGTGTTCAGCGACCCGCAGCCTCACATCCAGTGGCTCAAACACATCACCATCAACGGCAGCAGAGAGGCGCCCGACGGACATCCATACGTCCACGTACTCAAGGTGGGAAACTTGTGATCCTCACGCAGATATATAAACAAGTACAGTCACACTAGCAGCGAGCCGCTTTTTAAAAATGTGTACTACTAAACACTTTTTGCACTCAAAAACTGACAAAAAGGGGTTATGTTAAAAGTAGCATAACAGGTCACATATTCATTGTACTCAGTTTTAAAAAAAATACTTGTTGGACATCCATATGTCCTCGTACTCATGATCTGATACTTGTATCCCCATAAAGATATATAAACAAGTACATAGTCACACTAGCAGTGAGCCGCTTTAAAACAATGTGTACTACTAAACACAGAAAAACACTCAATAACTGACAGTAGGGGGTTATGACAAAAGTAGCATGAAATATATTCATATGAATCAGTTTAGAAATAAATAATTGTCGGACAACCATACGTCCTCGCACTCAAGGTCTGAAACTCTTGTCCCCACACAGATAGATAAACAAGTACACAGTGACACTAGCAGTTAGCTGCTTTAAAAAAAATACTCAAAAACTGACAGTAGGGGGTTATGATAAAAGTAGCATAACATGTTCATTGCACTCAGTTTAACAAAAAATACTTGTCTTTATATCTTATTTAACGTTAAATGTGTTTTTTTTACCTTTTCTTACAACTTAATGTCTAGTTGTTTCTGTTTGCATTTCTTTTATGTCTAAAATGTATCTGGTAATGCACTTGATTCTTAATCTGATTCCAAAATTGGAAATACTCAAGCAAAGTACAAGTATATTGAAATGCTAGGAAATCTACCTATATTTAATTTTTGTTTTCCATCTCATTTGTGTGTTTGCTGCAGACTGCGGGTCTGAACATGACGGATAAAGAGATGGAGGTTCTGACTCTGAGGAACGTGAGTCTTAATGATTCAGGAGAATACACGTGTTTAGCAGGAAACTCCATCGGCGTCTCGCATCACTCCGCCTGGCTCAGTGTCACTGACGGTAAGCACTCAAATAATTTAATGTGCCGTTTGTAAGGTTTGAAAATCCGTTTCTTAAAATCAACAGAAAAGTGAGTGCAAACATTTCTTTGTTTGAGTTTCTGCTTAGAATAACTTTGCTTCTAAAGTGCAAGAGCAACAAAACTTTTTACAATATAGGAAACAGGGGGAGAATAACATTTAAAAAGTGTTTTTCAATAACTATGAATGCTTTAAAAAACACTGAACTTTAATGACATTATAAAAGTTAACTTTATGTAAGAAAAGGGTTTAACTCTTTTTAACTCAATACAAAGAGTTAAAAACATTTTGATTTGATGATGTTTTTCTCTCAGAGCTCCCCCCCACCCCACTGCCCTCGCAGACGTACCTGGAGATCTTCATCTACTGCCTCGGCTTCTTCATCATCGTTATCCTCATCGCCACCGCCGTCATCTGCAGACTCTGCTGGGCGCCGAAGAAAAACCACTTCCACCATCAGCTGGCCGTCCAGAAGTTAGCGAAGAGCATCCCTCTGAGGAGACAGGTAACACCGCCATCTTTGTTCACTGTTCACCTTCCTGTTTCTATTGCTGAATACACAGAGCTGCAGGGATGCTGTTTGTCTGTGTTGGACCCTGAATCTAAGAATTCTGAGGATTTAAGAAATAAATGGAAGCAAAATTCTGTGAAAAAGTATAAATTATGTGAGAAAAAAGTTTAATACTGAGCAAAAAGAAAAAATTTGGTAAAAAGTATTTTTTTTTTAGAAAAAGTAAAAATTCTTAAGAAAAAGTGAAATTTGGGAAAAAGGCAAAATTCTTAGAAAATGTGAAATTCTTAAGAAAATGTTACATTTCTGAGAAAATGTTGAGAAAAAGTCAAATTTCTATGAAAAAGTCAAATTTCTGATAAAAAATAAATAAGGGAAAATTCAAATTCTAACAAAAGTCCCAAATTCTGAGGAAAAAGTCAAATTTCTAATAAAAAAAGTTAAAATGATGATAAAAAAGAGAGGAAAAAAGACAATTTCTAAGAAAAAAGTGAATATTCTTATTAAAAATAAAGTCAAATTCTGAGACTTTTTTTGCAATTCTGCAAAAGTCAAATAAAGTGTTTCTGTATTTCTCCCCAGGTGTCGGTGGACTCCTCTAACTTTCTTTTTTTATATAAACATTTACTCTATTTGTCTCTTATTTGAACTCATTTTAAAATGGAGTAGCTGTCATGAAACCTAATTCCCCAGGATAAATATTATATAATATAAATAAGTATTTCTGTATTCGTCCCCAGGTGTCGGTGGACTCCTCGTCAGGGATGTGTTTGATACGTTCGTCTCGTCTCTCGAGCGCCGCGACCTCCAGCCTCACCGGAGTCTCAGAGTACGAGCTGCCCTACGACCCCGCATGGGAACTTCCTCGAGAACGGTGCGTGATTATCTATTATACCTGAAGTCTATTCAAGATTCAAAGATTCAAAGGTTGTATCATCAGATGCTCAGCAGCTTCAGAGTAGAAATGGCAATGAAATTCTCCTGGCCTGAGCTCCTCCAACAATGCAACATATATAATAAAATGCAAAAATACAAAGTAGTGCAAGAAGTCTCTATACATGTCAACAGAATATGAAATTAAATAATGTAAATTAAGAGACAATTAAATACGGTTTATTGCAGTTATACCTGATCTATTATAACTGATAAAATACACTGTCGTTTGCTATTTACTCATTGTCCTAAGTGTCTTTTTTTTTTTTTTTTAGATCTTAAGGTCATTTGGTACATTTACATTTGGTGTAAATATTGTCTTCGGCAGAAAAAAGTAAACAATTCTGAGAAAAATATCAAAATTCTGAGAAAAAACTCAAAGTTCTCAGAAGAAGTGCCAGGGATAGACATAGAGTATTTTTACTAATCTGTGAAGTGTGTGTGTAAACATGTCCTAAAGATGATGAGGACAAAGAGTATATAAAAACATATATAAATACAAATTGTGTGGAAAAAGTAAAAAATTCTCAGTAAAAGTGAACAATTCTGAGAGAAAAATCTGAACTTTGAGAATAAATCTTAATTTGAAGACAAAATTCAGAGAAAATATGCCTGTGATAGACATATAGTTTGAACTAATCTTTAATGTGTGTGTGTGTGTCCTCAGACTGACGCTGGGGAAGCCTCTGGGCGAGGGATGTTTCGGGCAGGTGGTTCTGGCCGAGGCGGTCGGGATCGATAAGAACAAACCGACCCGCCTCACTAAAGTCGCCGTGAAGATGCTCAAAGGTGAGGCTGCTTTAATTCATTCATGATAAATCTGCAGAGAGTGGAAACCATGAGGAAGACATCTTATTTTTTTAAGATTTGTTTTAATGTTTTTTTTTGTTTGCCGTGGTGCAGCGGACGCCACAGAGAAGGATCTGTCTGACCTGATCTCTGAGATGGAGATGATGAAGATGATCGGGAAACACAAAAACATCATCAACCTGCTGGGAGCGTGCACACAGGACGGTGAGTGTGTGTGTGTGTGTGTGTGTGTGTGTGTGTGTGTGTGTGTGTGTGTGTGTGTGTGTGTGTGTGTGTGTGTGTGTGTGTGTGTGTGTGTGTGTGTGCGTGTGAGGGTGTGTGTATGTTTGCAAGGCGAAAGTTTTAGTCCAAAATCCTTTTTAAAAAGTGTGTTTACAAACCCTAAAAAAGTATTCACAGAATCTATTCAATGTGAGAAGCTGGAGCAAACATTTTTTTGTATTATTGCTCGAAAAAAGCTTACACCCAAAAAAGAAGATAAACAGAAGTGGGAAGAAGAAAATGATTAAAAGTCCATAACCAAATAAAATAATTAAATATTGAAAATGAATAAGTAAAATAAATTATGTGAAGTCTAACACTAAAATAAATGTTTGATAGTTCTGCAAAAAAAAAACAGGATTAATGAAACAAAGTCGCTGAATGCTCCACAGAAGCTAAAGATGCTAACCCCTCTTCCTCCTCCTCCTCTTCCTCTTCCTCCTCTTCTTCAGGGTCTCTGTACGTTGTGGTAGAGTTTGCCTCTCAGGGGAACCTCCGGGAGGTCCTGAGGTCTCGTCGCCCCCCTGGTCTGGAGTACTGGAGCGACTCCCAGCAGGAGGCCATGGACCGGCTGGAGGTCAGGGAGCTGGTCTCTGCTGCGTACCAGGTGTCTAGAGGGATGGACTACCTCGCCTCCAGGAAGGTAAACTATACGGTTGAAAATGTCAAAATTATGTGAAAAAAGTTAGAAAAGAAAAAAAATCCAAGAAAAAATTAAAAATTATGAAAAAGAGGACAATTTGTGAAAAAAAGTAAAAATTCTAAGAAAAAGTAAAAATTCTGAGAAAAAGTAAATTTTGTGAGAAAGTAAAAATTCTAAGAAAAAGTAAAAATTCTGGGAAAAAGTAAAAATTCTAAGAAAAAGTACATTTTGTGAAAAAAGTCAAATTCTAAGAAAAAGGACACATTTTGAGAAAAAGTAAAAATTATAAGAAAAAGTAAAAATTATAAGAAAAAGTAAAAGTTTTGAGAAAAAGTAAAACATTCGGAGAAAAAGTAAAGATTCTCAGAAAAAGGACAAATTCTGAGAAAAAAGTCACAATTCTGAGAAAAAGTAAATTTTGTAGAAAAAGTCAAATTCTAAGAAAAAGGAGAAATTCTAAGAAAAAGGACAAATTTAAGAAAAAGGACAAATTCTGTGAAAAAGTAAATTTCTGAAAAAAGTAAAAATTCTAAGAAAAAGTAAAATTCTGAGAAAAAGTAAAAATTCTAAGAAAAAGTAAAAATTCTCAGAAAAAGTACATTTTGTGAAAAAAGTCAAATTCTAAGAAAACGGACAAATTCGAACGAACTTTGTAAAAAGAAAAAGTCAAAATTCTAAAAAAAAGTCCAAAATGAGGAAAGAATTTTTGTCAAAATGTCCTCTACAGCAGGTGTCAAACTCTATTTCACCGCATTATGGTTGCACTCAAAGGGCCGGTTGTAACTTTAAGATTATAAAAACATAAACATATATAAATATCGCATTGGATTATTATCGAATAGGGTCATAACTGAATAATTAACTACGTCTGAAAGTAGAAGTCTGGGGCAAATCATTTAAAGTCTCTTCATTGCACATGTCACAAAATGAGATGCATTGTGGGAGATGTAGTTTTGTGGCAACATGCTTCTGTAAAGCGGCATGTAACCGATAAATAATAATAAACCTATTATATTCTTTCAGAGCTCTTGCGGGGCCACATACAACGGATAAAAACATACATTTCTGCACCAGATCTTGATATGTGGTGGAAACTGATTTACTCGATTATTATTAACAATTATTTGATGTTAATGTTTCCCCCCTCAGTGTATCCACAGAGATTTGGCAGCGAGGAACGTTCTGGTGACCGAAGACAACGTGATGAAGATCGCTGACTTCGGTTTGGCTCGAGACGTTCATCACATCGATTACTACAAGAAGACCACCAACGTGAGGACGAATAATACTTTTAATACAAATGGAAAAGTCATTTTTCTTTTTATATTTCTTTCATAAAATCTAAGAATTCTTAGATATTAAGAAAAAAAAACTTTCTCTCACTTTTACATTTTTTATCTCAATTTGACCTTTTGGGTTGAATTCTGTCAAAATTCAGAGAAAAGATTATTGGGTGATTAAACTCGAAATTATGTGGAAAAAGTCAAAGTCTAAGAAAAAATGAGCACCAACGTGAAGACGAATGAATGCTTTGGATATAAAAATGTTTATGGTTTGCATATATTTTATGTCTTATATTTTTTGTACCATATTTGGTAGCACTTTACAATAAGACTACCCGTATAAAGGATTTACTAATAGTTAATTAATGAATTAGGTTGTGAACACTTTATAAATCATTAATAAGCTTTTATAAGACATGAGATAAACAGGGCAACTGTGACCGGTTGCTTGCCAAATAGTGAGCCCACATGTAGCTTACTGCTGAGCCTTATATTGGCTACCTAGCTTACTTCGTCTCCTTCATCAGCTAGCATCCTTGGTATCTGTTGTTCACCGAGTTGATTCTCGCTAAGTAGCCAACATAAGGCTTAGTCCTCTTGCTGAATAGTGAGCCTGTGTTTACGTATGAAAACTATGTTAGAACTGGTTTATAGATGGTTCTTAATGATTAATAAAGTGATTACAACCTAATTATAAACTCTTTATGAATCCTTTTATAAGGGTAGTCTTATTATAAAGTGGTTCCTGATATTTTAATATTTTTTTAAAAAGTCACGATTTTGAGAAACAAATATAAATGGAAAAGTGATTTTGTTTTTATATTTATTTTTTTCTTAGATGTTAAGAAATGTTCTTATATTGTGTATTATTTCCTGCAGGGCCGTCTGCCGGTGAAGTGGATGGCTCCAGAGGCTCTGTTCGATCGGATCTACACACACCAGAGCGACGTGTGAGTGATCTACAAGAGGAGTTAAAGATTCATTTTTATAACTTTAAAGTAGGCCTTTATCTGAATAACTAAAACAGTTAATAATAATAATAATAATAATAATAATAATACATGACACTTATATTTTTTAACCCTAACCGCTTTCCTAAAAACTCAAGAAATATGATAATAAAATAAAAAACTTAAATTAAAGTATGATATAAATAAATGAATAATCAAAACAACTTTAATATAATAAAGCAATATATAAAAAATAGTTTCAATGTAAGTACAATAAATTAAGCAAAAATAAAAGAAAGATTTCTTTAAAAAACTATTTAACTTCAATTAAATTAATTAATAAAATAATATTAAAAGAATCCAAGGCTGCTAAAAATGTAGGTTCTGACAGCTTTCCTCTCCTAGTGAAAAATACTTCAGTTTGCTCGATTGGTTTTATTTTCTCCATATCTGAATGTTTTCTGTGCTGCAGGTGGTCCTTCGGGGTCCTGCTGTGGGAGATCTTCACCCTCGGGGGGTCCCCGTACCCCGGGGTCCCTGTGGAGGAACTCTTTAAACTGCTGAAGGAGGGCCATCGCATGGAGAAACCCTCCGCCTGCCCCCAGGAGCTGTGAGTGTATAAATATATAAAAAATACCCAAAAATGGAGCTGTGAGTGGCCCGGACCCCCTTCCTTTAAACAGAAACACAGATAATTAGGGGTTTATTCTAGTTTAGAAAAGTGCATTTTACATTCCAAACTACAACAGTGTCCCATATAAAAAAGACAACACGTAAATCCTGTGCATTTGTATGTGTTTTAAATGTACCTGAAACTGTTATACTGTTTATATAATCCAGCTGTTTGCTTGTTATGTGTGTTTCCAGGTATCGGATGATGAGAGACTGCTGGCACGCCGTCCCCGCTCGCAGACCCACTTTCTCTCAGCTGGTGGACGATTTAGACCAAACACTTTCCCTCATGGCCAACCAGGTAATAACAGCACAAACAGCTGTTTTAAACTAAAAATAACATAAAAGAAAAATGTTGCGAAAAGTGAAATTCAGAGAAAAAAAAAAAATTGGAAAAGTGAAAATATAATTATATTTCTTTCTTAAAATCTAAGAACTCTGACTTTTTTTCTTTTTTTTTACCCAGAATTGTTAGATGTTAAGAAAAAAATATTTTTCTCACTTTTCATTTTTTATTAAACAAGTCAAAATTCTGAGAAAAAATGATTAGGTTGAAAACGCCGAAACTATTTGAAAAAAGGTGAAAATACGAAGAAAAAAGTCAAGAAAAAGACAAAAAAAGAAATCTAAATTCAATAAAAAACGAATTTTGTGAAAAAAAGTCAAATTTCTGGGGGAAAAATTAAAAAGTGAAAAGATTTATTATATTTCTTTCTTAGAATTCTGACTATTTTCTTAAATGTTATGAACAAAACAGAATTTAAAAAATAGTATTCGAAATTCAACATTTTGTGAATAAAGTCCAAATAAAGTTTCTTTCTTGAGATCTAAGAATCCTGATTATTTTCTCACTTACATTTCTAGTAAAGAGTCCCATTTCTTGGTAATTCTTAACTGTGCTGTTTCTCTGCAGGATTACCTGGAGCTGGCGTCTCCTCTCGTCCAGCTCTCCTCCGTCAGCTCCTCTCTCTCCTGCAGCTCCTCGTGAGCCTTCTGGGAATTTCTTCCTTCCTTCGTCCCGTTTCCTCTCGATGTTTCACTGCAGCTTCCTTATGTGAAACACAGCTGGACTGAGGGATGGAACCACTGCTGCTGAAACATGTTTATAATAATAACGTTCTCAGTGTGAATAGTGTACATATTATTTTGTTATTGCGAATACAAGGATGAAGACAGAACTGGATTCATAGGAAATGAAATGTAAAGCGAGAAATACTTACTAAATGAGGAACAAAATACAGAAGATGTGGAAAGGGAAGTTATTCACTATAACAAGCATTAAGAAAAAGGGGCAACAAATGTAATAGCATTACAAAATAGTCATTAAAAAGCTAAGAAAACACAAGCTTTAAAAGGAAATACGTCAGTTATGAAATATAATAATTAAAGTTACAGTGAAGAGTAACATATGAATATAATTGTTTTTGTTAAAAAAGATAGGATTCAGTTTTAATGTAAAATAAACTGTATTTTTTTCTTTGCCTTTTCTAGATATATTCAGCATAAAAACTATTTTTCCATGTTTAGTTTTAACTTTGAAGACAAGAAACAGGCCTTCATGGTTTGTAATGTAGCAGACGTTTTATACACACAACTAAATGTGTACATATATCTATACATTAGTTAAAATAATACATTTAAATGTACTTTTTACTCGTCTACCATCTGCCTCCTTAGATGTATTTCTTTGTGCATTCTTTTATTAATTTATTTTGTACCAATATTTATGTATTTCTCCACACCTGTTGCCAAAGAAGATGTCCGCCAGTGTTCAACATTGCACTTATCCAGCTGAGTACAGCCTGCCATTTACAGAAAACGCTTCGAGTTGAATGTGTACAGTAACTGATTAACAACAGTATTAAAACTTTTTTTGAATTTACATCCCCTGGTTTGTTGTGATTGAAATGGACAGGATGGGATTTTTAACAACAGAAATGATTGCTGTCTGAGAGTCCCTCCAAATTGAGTCGGTTATGTTAACAAATATATCATTTTGTTATTTTTAATATTGTATATTACGCTTTTTTTTTTGTTGGACGTTTTAGGTTTCATACTTTTTGTTACATCTGTTCTGCTTCATGTCCCCTAAAACAGATGTTCTTAATCTCATTGGGACCCTCCTAAAGGTCAATTTCAAAAAGGAGCACAGTGTGAAAACATCTTTTTTTTTTTTTCAATATTCGCCTTTTCCAAGAAAAATAGCCTTTTTTTTTATTGTGAGCGTAAAATAAAACATGAGTCCCAGTTTCTCCCCCTTGTCAAACAATGCAATGTGTACAATGCAAAAAAAAATGGACGATGCAGAGGCCTCTTCTAACAATCAATATTTTTTGCTCACACACACATACATATTTTGCCATCATTGTGAGGACCACTTACCCATAGTCCCTTGTGAGGACGTTCGTTTCTGCTGTTGCCAGGAGGATTACAAATGAAATATAGGAAGAGGCCTATGCGTCGTCAATCACAAACCACACACACACACACAGCCCACAGAGAGGAAACCTTACATAATAAACGACAGGAGGCTCCTGCAAACGTTCATCATGCCGTTTTTTCTGACATCTTATTCCCTCTGTAGCCTCTGGCTGACTCTGAAACATTTCTGCTGCTCAGCCTCGCACTAAATTTAATCAGTCAGAACGGCCTCTCCTTCCTGTTCCTCTGCAGTAAAACTAAAACATTTTCCCCTCAGAGCTCTTCTGGCTTCCCTCAAAATCTGAACCTTTTCCAGAGAAATGTCCTGGCTTTCTTTAAAAAAAGAGATGCCCTTGCAGATCTTCAGGACATATCTGAGCTACATGTGCGCACAACCCGCAGCAGAAACATTGAGATATTGCAAAACGTTTACGCACTTTACAAAAACATTATTTTAGAAAAACGACCAGTAAAAAAGAAAAACAGAAAAACGAATTTTAGACAAATTATCCAGTTTTTCAAAAGTATCTTAATTTGCGAAAAACTGCTTCATTTTAGAAAAACGCCCCAAAAAAAAACGAATTTTAGAAAGATTATCCAGTTTTTCAAAGATATCTGAATTTTTTAGAAAAATCCAAATTTTCTTAATGACTTCATTTTCATAAAGAGTACCTCATTATTCCAAAATATCGTAATTCCCTATTCAATGCATCGAAGCAACCTTAGCAGGAAATTAGCCATGTTGGCTAAAGCTGCCCCATTTACTGTTTTTGTTACCGCTAATTAATAATGGGGATCGTCCACAAAACCATAAACTAATACACTAAAATAAACTCATATTTTCTACTTTTACATTTTGAATTGTTTATTTGCAGTCCCTTAATTTCTCTAATGTACAATGCCTTGTCTTTTTATGCTGCTGCAACGCAAACATTTCCCAAATTGAGATCAATAAAGTACTTCTTAATTATTATTTTAGGCTCACTTGTACTCAAAAATATTAGTTTGTTCATTTTTGGTGGCCTCAATGCTTTTATAACAACATAAATGTTCCTCTAAGGAAGAATTGTAATAACTGTAACATGCTTTATGACTCTTCCTGCTGTAGAAAAAAACTTGCTTCCTTTTCTGTTTTCTTGCAGACTGAAACAGCTTCAGTTTGTTTTCTTAAAGCTGCAGTTAAACGGCTCTGATTCCTTGAAATGAGTTCTGTTAACAGCAGCAGGAGGGAGGAAAGGGGGAGAAAGGGGGAGGGTATGGGTGTCTCTCTCACCTCCTGATGGGAGTTAATGGCCCATAACGTGGAGGTGAGGAGCCATTATGGGTCAGCCATTACCTGGAGAGACAGATGGCTGAGAGAGGGGCCATTGAGGGGCCACTCATCACCTCCAGGAGAAACAGGACAAACAAACACCGAGGCGAGAGGAAGTTATTCTGAGGCGTGTTAATGTGTGTGTGTGTGTGTGTGGGGGGG